TTAAAATTAAATTTGTTTAATTAAAAAATTTAATCAAATAAGTTCAAGATTTCTTAAAAAAAAACTACATATTAGATACAATAGATTTAAAAAATAGTAGTCCTTACAGGAGAACACGCGCGCTTAAAATATCTTATAAACTAATGTTTTTTGACATTTCTAATATTTTTATATGCAGAATTAGAGAAATATTTAAAATATATTTTAAAAATCATATAATTTCATTTAAAAAAGTGGAGGTGATCATACCTTTTTGAAGCTTCCACCTAGAAAAAAACAACGTATCAAAATACGTCCTCGAAATCGTTCCACTTTTATTTGAAACATTGATATTTTGATCATTTTCAAGTATACTTTTCACTTTTAGCACTGAAAATTATAATTCGATTCGAACAATTAAGTTTCAGTTTTATCTTTTACATTATCTTTTTTTTTTTAAATTTGATTATTTAATATGATAAATATATAAGATTATAAGAACTTTGTATGTGTACATTAGGCAGAGAAAAGAGCGCATCACAATGCTTTGGAGCGCAAGCGACGGGACCACATCAAAGACAGTTTTTCCAGTCTCAGAGATTGTGTACCATCCCTGCAGGGGGAAAAAGTTGCAAGCAGAGCGCAAATCCTTAAAAAAGCAGCTGAGTACATTCAATATATGCGGCGTAAAAATACATCTCATCAGCAAGACATCGACGACCTCAAGAGACAAAATACTCTCTTAGAGTCTCAAAGTAATTATCTCTTCTCTTTTATAGTCACATATATACATGAGTTGTATTATACAGGATGTAACTAAAATGAGGTAACAAACTCCGGGGTTGAGTTCCCCACACCAAAACATGAAAAAAAGTTCATGTTTTACACTCTGTACAAAAATTTTCTTTAAAACTTAAAAATAGCGAGGAAATTCGTTTTGCAGTTTTAATGGTTTGTTAGAGCTTATTATGACAGATAAAATGTTGCTGATTCCTCCAAAAAGAGACATAAGAAATAATACATCTTTTTTTAAATAGAATATTAAAAATTTTTTATTTTTTGATAGATTTTGTTAAATGTGACATTCATAAAAAAAATATTACCGTCATTTACATATAGTTTAAGAGTTCAAACAGAAAATACTTTTCAGTGATTTAACAATGGATGTGTCGATACAAAATTAATTATTAGGTGTACAACTTTGCTTCCGCCGTTTTTTTTTTTCGAAATTCGAGGCTTTATTGTAAAAAACTGGTTATACATTTATGATTCAAAGTATTGTCCATCGCTGGCCACTACTTTCTCCCATCTTTCGGGCAGCGTACGAATCCCGCGTCGAAAAAACTGGTCATCTTTTGAGGCGATCCACGAATCGATCCAAATTTTTACTTCTTCATAAGACCGGAAGTGCTGGTCAGCCAGGCCGTGTGCCATTGATCGAAACAAGTGATAGTCAGAGGGAGCAACGTCTGGAGAATACGGCGGGTGGGGTAGGACTTCCCATTTCAACGTTTCCAAGTATGTCTTGACCACTTTCGCAACATGGGGTCGAGCATTGTCATGCTGCAAAATCACTTTATCGTGTCTCTCGTTGTATTGCGGCCGTTTGTCTTTCAATGCTCGGCTCAAACGCATCAATTGTGTTCGATACCGATCGCCTGTGATTGTTTCAGTCGGTTTTAACAGCTCATAATACGCTACGCCGAGCTGGTCCCACCAAATACAGAGCATGACCTTGAAGCCGTGAATATTTGGTTTAGCCGTCGACGTGGAAACATGGCCGAGAACTCCCCATGATTTTCTGCGCTTGGGGTTATCGTAATGAATCCATTTTTCGTCCCCAGTCACAATGCGATGCAGAAATCCCTTCCGTCTTTGCCTTTCAAGCAGCTGTTCACAAGCAAACAAACGCCGTTCAACATCTCTCGGCTTCAACTCGTACGGCATCCAATTTCCTTGCTTCTGAATCATTCCCATGGCTTTGAGGCGTTTTGAAATGGCTTGTTGAGTCACTCTCAATAATCGTGCCAATTCTTCTTGATTTTGACACAAGTCTTGATCAAGTAATGCCTCCAATTCTGTACCTTCGAAAACCTCTTTTCCACCGCTACGCCGGTCTTCGACGTCAAAATCACCGTTCTTGAAGCGTTGAAACCACTCACGACACGTTCTTTCACTAATAGCGGCCTCACCATAAGTATTTGAGAGCATTCGATGAGCCTCAGCCGCAGATTTCTTCATATTGAAGCAGAAAATTAAAACCTCCCGCAAATGACGAGAATTTGGCTCGTAAACTGACATTTTCAATCGAGAATAACTTTATGATGCAGACACAAATCGACTAATATTTCTATGGGGTTATGTTGACAGATGCCCAAGTTTATTGTATGACGTCTATGATCTATTTATTTCGACCACCACTTACCGCTAAAGCCATCTATAGGAAAACGGCGGAAGCAAAGTTGTACAACTAATAATAATAAAGCTATCTGGCGCGCTAAATCGTTAAATCTTAAATTATGTTTACATCCTATTAATTACACTTTTTGATTCTTAATGCTTAATGTCTCTTTTATTGAGTTTCATTATTATTAATTAATTTAATTTACTATTTCGAAAGACTCAAGTTTTTGTATTGTGTGACTATAAATTAAATAAAAATAGAATATTACTTATTTCTTCTAATTATTTATTCTTTTAAAGTTCGTTCGTTAGAAAAAGCCTCGCTTACTGGCTACACAGAGACCTGTGAGATGACTAAGTCTGAATCAGTGGGCATAAGTGGATACAACGACTCAGAATCTGAATCCTCTGACAGCGAGACTGGTCAAGCAATTCGACAACCAAAAAAGCTAAAAGTGGCCAGCCTGCATCATTGACACTCCGTACTTTCCCATTTCTTGATACTTTATTTTCATATGATGATCCGTCTTTCGAGATATTTGTAAGTGATATAAATTGCGTGTGTATTGTGCGATCATGCGTAGTTAGGTACTTATGTAAGTAAATCATTAGTGATGTTCTATAGCATATTTGTAACATAGCAACATTTTGAAAAGTGAGAAATGTTCAAGAGCGTATGGCGAATACTGGTATCTTGTAATACTTATGTTTACAACTTAATGTATATAAATACACGTTAAGCAACAATACTGTAGTATTAATATAAATTATATCCGTTGGTGATTTTGGGATATCACAAATACAGTCTCTATCTTCAATTTCGCGAGCAGTCTGTCTATGAATAATTATAATTATCAACAATTATGTAGCAATGTTTAGACTTTTGTATTATAATTTCGGTATCGCATGTCTCACAATTTTTTATTTATGTTTGATACTTGCAAATCGCTTTCCGAATCGATTGTTGCAATCGACTATCAAATTGTAAATATATTAATTCAGTCCAATATCATGTAATTAATATTTGATTATTGTTAATGGCGGCTAACTGATTCAGAGTATCAACATATTGATGTATCATGTCAATATTTTGATATTGTTTAAGACTATGCATTATTTGATTAATAAAGTTTTATTTGTAACTCATGTTGTGTTAAAACAATTAACATTAATTTGTCTAGAAATAGAAAGCGTCATTTAAATCGAAAAGGTAAATTTATGAAAAAGACACACATTTGTAATGAATATTTTATAGATTTACAAGATTATATTATACTTCATTCGTGCCGCGTGTTATGGGGTGTATGTGTTTTTTGTGTGCATGTAGTTGTGTGCACGCGCGTACGCGCGCGCGCGCGCGCGTGTGTGTATAAAAACTTTATATACATATATAAAGTATCTCAAATAGACAAAATTTTAAATAACTTACACAATTCACAAATTAAATCATTACAATTGTGATCATTATTAGAAGAAAAAAAAATGTAATTAGAAAGTTATACACAAATCTATCTGCCGAAATGTAACAAAAGATCTCAACATAACAAGAAAAATGAGAGATTAAAGTGTCATTAGGATTTATTTAAATTAACTTAGTTTACAAACAGGAAATGACACGATCCTAAAATCTTGTTCGACTATTTGAAAAGTTCACTAAGATGAAAAGTAGATGCGATTTATTAATCGCTGGAAATTCTAGATGCGACCAGCAAATGAGCCTGCTTCAACCTGCTCATCCCACTTCTCTACCCAGGCGGTTGGACACATTGAAGTAAAAACTCTTTTGAAGTACTGACAAGCCTCGTAATTTTCGTTGTGCTTCTTCTTGCATCGATGAAAGTCTACGTAGCTCTGGTAGCAATATCTATAGAGTATCAGATTCAATTAAAGATATTAGTCTTCTTTTTTCTACATATGAGTATGATGTACTTCTATCATGCTTTTGAGACAAAATAACTTTTATTTTCTTTCACTATTTTGTAAACAATTTATGACATATGTGTATACATACATATACACACCTAACGCTTACTCTATAAAAGTAAAGAATTTAGATAGTTACAAATTTTATTAGCATTTAATAAATCGACTTGAATTGTGACAAGAATTTTTTTTTCATATTTAATTTTTGTAATTTTAATACGATGAAATATTAGTAATGTACATATTATAATTACAAGGCGGTAAAACATAAAATGTCATACTATTGTGGTTTAAATATAACACATTTATTTTTATTAAAATTGTTACACAACTGGTACCACAGCTATTTTCGAAACTTGAATAATTAAATGATATGACATTTCGTGCATTATTTTGTAGTATGTTTGATGGATGAGCCATTTTGTTGATAATGAATGCAATAACAAAAGAAATTGGTAAGTATAACAATTATACTTTCCTGTAAGAAAATTCTTTAAAAATTGATCATGCTAGGATAATTTTCACTAATGAAGATAGCAGACATATTGATTATGAGAGATCATTTGATCTTTACCTGGTTTGATTCTGATTAGGGAACCTAGGATCGTAGGGTGCGGTTTGCCACTTTGTCTCATCTAAGTCCGAAAGCTTGGTCATGATTGTGACAGTACAGGACACTGCTTGACAAGCTATAAATGATTTAATCTCTAAATTTCAGTATGAATTCGTGTTGCATTTCATCTCCTCTCTCTCCCTTCCTCCTTTAAGCCCCTTTATTTGCCCGTAAATGTAAATTCTATCATTTCTCTCTCGCTCTTGTCCATTCGTCTCTCAAAGCACACACACATACACGACACTGTATCACAAATGAGTCCGTTTCTCACGGCACTTGTTCTCTTCTCTATTCTCTTTCGTTCAGATCGTTGAAAAAGACATCTTATTTTAAATGAACATAAAAGCTCATAGCGAAACAAAATGAACGAAAGGTGCATTTGAGAAGTATCTGTTGTTTTAAGAATTAACTATCAACTATAAGTGTCTTAGACGAAAAGTAATGAGCCAATGTATGTAAAGACGAATTGTCGAAGCTATTTAACCAATGGTCGCGTGTTATCCTCTTCCTGGCAGCAAACCTCCCGATACTTCTTTACTTCTGCCATATATAGGGACCACGCGTCCTTCGGCTGTTCTGCTGTCTGTTCTGTCTTTGGTTTCGCTACCACACCAGTCTTTAAGATCCTACCACCCCTCCTCTTGCCCACCATCAACGGCGGCGGTATTACAGGCTTTTCCTCCAAGACCGAAGTAGTGGGTTTTTGCATGGTAGGTTGCATCTGTTCCTGCATCTTTTTGAACATCTCCATAAAACTACCGTCATTCTTGAAGGCATTCGGTTGTGGGACAATAGCGGCCGTTTGGTGTATCGCTATCTCTCCGTGTTCCTCCAAGGCATCGGATTCGTAGGAGGTTCCCCTGGCATGATGCCTGCGACTCTCCCTATACCTGTGCCTGTCTCTATCTCTGCTGCGATTACGACTGCGACTTCGTTTCTTGTCTCTCGAACGAGACCTACCACGCGACCTCGAACGCGATCTGTCTCTTCTTGAGTACTTGCGTGATCTTTCTCTGTCGCGATCCCGGTCTCTGTCGTTGGACCTGGACCGTCTATGGGAGCGTACTGGGGACGATCTGGATCCGCTACGGCGGCGCTTACGTCGCTCCTGGAGCGGTGAGTCATTCCGTGAGGATCTACTGCTTCGATGGTGGTCCATGGCAGGCGAAGGTGAACGTCGCGTACCTGCGACTCTGCTCTTGTGGCTGTCATGTGTCGTGGTATAACCTGTGCTATACATGGGAGGCGAGGGCGGAGTGGGTGGCGATTCGGTATTCGATCTGGCGCTGCGTTCGTACCGCTTTGAGTCCATCACGCTGGTGGGTCGAACCGAAGGATGGACCTATAAGGATAGAAACTGCCTTCCATGAGTATACGGCTTGTTCTGGATTCTCCCGCCTTCATACGACTTTGGCGTTTTTCTTTTTTTTTTTTTTAGTGTGCATTTGCGAGACAGACGGACTTATATAGAGCAAGAGAGCATATAACGTAGACACAACAAATGGTAATTGATACATGAGTCAAAGGATACTTTGTATCAAATCAAAGGCATTGCCTGCGATCATCAAGCTGTGATTTAACAGATAAAGTATCAGCATGGTAATCGCACTGTTTTGCAGTAGCTGTATTCAGTAGAGAAAGCAGCTTTGCAACAGTTGCAAAGTTGCTTTCTTTGCTGAACACAGTTAGTGTCTCAAGAACACTGATTGTAAAGCAATTTTGCTTTATATATATTGTGTCCTTTTTGCAATATACTTGGAAATGCAAAACACATGAGAGAAAGTGAGAAAGAGAGAGAGAGAGAAGGGTAAAAAAAATAATCCTAAATTTAAATCCGATTTTAATCAAATCCTACACGTTGCCAGCTAATTCCGGAAATTCTTCATCCTCGAGGAAATTAACGAAGGAAAATGGACGGAATGAACATATTAAATTCCACTTGGAAACGATGAGAGTCATTCCTTTTAAACTAGGATGTTGGGAAAGAGCAGAAAAGAGGAAGAGGAAGGGAACACGTACGAGTCGTCTCTTCGACTTTTCTCGTGATCTACAATTAACGGAATGGCGATACCCTCTATCCGCGCGTGCGGACACGACTGTCCCATCGAGCGTCTCGCTGGACCACTTTAACTAACGTTAATTATCTATACGCGTATTACCTTAATCTGCAGTGGCAGTTGAAAAATCGTTTCTTGAGAAATACTGTGCCAGACGACGACGTTGTTACGTCATACACCTCCAAGAGTTTCCTTGTCGATCGAACGTGATAAGACGTGCGAGACGAGATTACGAGAACAATCCACCTCAAACGTTATGAGACATAGAAGGGTATTTCTCCTTCTTTTTCTTCTGGTTTAATCGCGCTTGCCGATGAAATAAAGGTATCTTTCCATGCCGACGCTCAACGCTCATTTTCAGCCTTAAGGTAAATTTTCATGAGCTGCTCTAACCGGTTGTTTCAGCGACAAAAAGAATCACGTGGTCAAAATTGACGAATATTAAATGTCCATTTTGATCACGTGATCCTTTTTGTCGCTAAAATAGCCGGTTAGAGCAGCTCGTGAAAATTTACCTTTAAGCTAAATACTCATGAGGTGTATTTACCGCGTATCACGTAACCGCGTAACCAATCAGAAGCGATCCGCTGTTGTGATTTCGTGTTTTACTGATTACTGATTGGTTACACGGTTACGCGATACGCGGCAAATACGTTTCATGGGACTCCACCCTAAAGCTGGAAACACAATAGACACAGGAAATAGGCACAGGCAACAGGGAATAACGAGCCGTCCAATCAGAGCTTTGGGGTATTAGTTCGATATTATATCCCAGAGCTCTGATTGGACGGCTCGTTATTTCCTGTTGCCTGTGTCTATTGTGTTTCCAGCTTAAGCATAACCTGCGTATTCTAGTAATTTACTAGATAGAATATAAGGTAAATGTCCCTATTTGTGACCCCTCGTCACTTTTATTAAACTCGGACTTTTATTAAATTAATCAGAAGTTTTAAGTAATTTATCTTCGCAAAGGGTTTTTATCGCGTTCAGTATTAGTCATGGTTTGATATATGGTTTCAGTTATATTTGACTAACAAATATTCATGAAAATGTGAAATAAGGTGCTCGTGTCTCCGTCAGTGGCAGATTGAACACATGTTTGTCGCCATGTTAGTAGACGGCGTTTGTCGCGAAACAGTTACATTTTTGTTATGTCGTCCGAAATAAAACGTTGAAGAATATAGTTTTTTCGTAAAAGTGTCAGTGAATACTTAATAAATATTGTGCTATGCGTGGATTCTAAAAAAGGTTAGTAATTTTGAACATATAGATGAATGTGACAAATAGGTACAACAAAACACGCATGTTTCCATTTGTGACCGTCTCAAGAAAATTAGTCATAACATTAAATATCGCTCCTCTTTTTGAAAAGAAAACAATTAATACTCATCTCTATATGTTTATGGACAAGTGTGAGTTGCATTTGTACGAATAAACCGAAAATATTCGACGTATGCTCGAGGGAAAATTTTAGTAACTTTTGATTAGGTCACTAATGGGACATCGTGTGTTTCTGTACCTATTTATGACCATAGCTTTAAATTATTTGTTTACAACTTAAGCATTGAGTAATTTCTTTGACCAAATTAAGAAAGCTTATCATATTTAATGCTATTGAGTTTAAATTTCGTGCCCTGTACTACAGCGAGTAACTTGTGGCCATAGAGCACGAAAGTACGACTGCGGCGCATGTGCGCATCGTATATTTTGTGACAGTGACAGATTTTCTAAATAGACATTAAGTTTGATTAAAGATACATGAAATATCAGGCTAATATCTCTGTTCACAGGATAACGCGACGCTTTTTTTCTGTCAAATCTTTATTTTTACGCGAAAACGCGTCGAGTGAGTATATTTGTACCGATATTTGAACGAGAAATGATCGTCAATGTGACATCAAATTGACATCAAGAAAATTAATCCACCGGTCACTAACCGGGACAGATGGTGGTGTCACTAATAGGGCCAGATTAAATTCAAACGGTCACAAATGCGTATATTTACATAGTCCGCTATTTCTTTTTTTATTTTTATTAGATTCTTAGAACTTAAGAAAAACATGTTTTTCGATACAAAAATGATTAATCTTGAGTTCGGTAAAATTGATTCCTGATTTTAATTATTTTTTAGAATTTTTTATTCTTATTAACTCATACGATTATCTTACATGGTCACAAATAGGGACATTTACCTTATGTTACGCCATTCCGAAGACTGGCCAGTGATGCCAACTGTTGAAAACATTACCCGCTAAATTCTATTTGAAATACCTCCAACGGATAACAAATTATATTATTTTCATTTGCGGCACACGCTTCTCCTTACAGCACGAATATATTGCAGCAATATTTCAATAGTGCGCAATGTTACAAAAATTACAGGAATATTGCTGCAATATTGAAATTTTAATATTTTATTCGAAATATTGCATCGCAAAACAACATTGCAAAATATTGTAATTTTAATATTTTGTAGAAAATATTGTAATATATTGTTTGTAATATTATAATTCAGTAAATAATACCATCACGAGAGGGCTACGCTTCTCTTAAGGAGAAAACATCTATAAGTTCTAGAAGTCCTATAAGAGGAGTACACAAATCGAGTTAGCGAATGTCTTGGAGATTCCCAACCTTTTTTGAATGTCTTTCTAGGCCTCTAGATTTCTCCTATCTTTTGGACGTTTTTTTCTTACGAGAACCGTGTCCTTCTCGTAGCGTAGCGGGGCCGCATACTTTTCTGTTGAATTATAATATTACAGCAATATATTACAACATATTTTCTACAAAATATTAAAATTACAATGTCATACTGTTATTTCTTTTATGTTATTCCTGTATAATTTTTCAACATACAACGAGATATTGAACTTCACCGCGCTCGCGATGGTAGCGCATATTGCTCATGGGGAACGACTATTATTGAATATAATTAGAAATTTTATAATTTTAAGTGGAAAATATATACTAATATATACTAATCAAATCCGTGTAGTAATCTGTCAAACGTTATAAAATACTGAGTTTTATCATAATAACCAGAATGTTATTCTGACGGGTTTCATTAAAATGTGTTCAACTATATATACATATATGTCTTGTTGGTATAATCATATAATAGTAACTCTGGCTGGTAATATTTTTCGCAATAAATTTTTTGCAGATTTTAAGATTCTCATTAACATCTGATTATTAATAAACTCTTATAAATAATGCTTATTAGCATCAGACAAATTATTAAATTGCTTGTCAATTTAATAAAAGTGATATTATTACTTTAGTTCCGCTCATGGTATTAAAAACCGGAAAAGATTTCAACGCGCAATCTAGAATCAGATATACTTACGTGTATAAATTCACGTATATAAATTCAAGAAATATTTACTCACTAAGAATCGCTTTGACCGAATATAGGAATTTTTGTATTTAATTAATTTTTATCGGTCTTTTCTTGTTAAACCAATAATATTATTGTAGTAATTATAGTTTGTATTACATTGTAACAAATAAAATATAATAATATAAAATTTAATAAAAGAATAAAGCGGTTTCCAGCATAATCGAGTGAAAAAGCTATTAAACATTCTGTGAAAATAACGCGTCTGCTATAATGACCCGGCATTAAAATCTCCTGACGTCACGCCTGCCCGGCGTCGATATTACTTTCCGATGATGCTAGTAAATACCTGGCTCTATCATCCTTGACTGAGCATACTAATTTTAGTACATTTATACGCATTTTTTACTTACAACAACTAATTGTTTAAATGTCCTAATTTAATTTTTGCCAATTATACATGTATGTACTCTTTGCAAAATAAAACAAAATTGCAAATATTTATAATTATTAAAGAAATAATAAAATGACTGTTTAAATATAATACACCGCGAGAGATTTCTAATTAATGCACAAGTATCAAAACGTTCTATGCAAATTTTTTAATTCAATTTTCTCGAAAAAAATATATAATGAAATAGTAGTAATATAAATTACGCCTGCAAATTTAATTTTGTATAATTTTGATTGATGAGAAAATGTTTGAACTTTTTATTCGATCATGAAGGTATTGGAGTATCAGTGTGTAGAAATTTACGTTTCTCGTATTATGATGAAAATTTGCGGAAGTTATTGTTTTGTAATATGGAGAAATGTGTCGCCGATGAAGCAATTTCATATCGTGGTGATGGATGTAACGCGGTCTCTCTCTCTCTCTCTCTCTCTCTCTCTCTCTCTCTCTCTCTCTCTCTGCCTTCCTATCTTATCGCGGTGGTCCTTGGAGTTCTCCAGACCAAAAGAGGAGCTGGAATCGCGCGTACCAAGCTCTATGTTGTATGCGAGTTTTGACCTTGTGGCATTTGGTACCTGTCCGTACCAGTCGACGCGCATACAACTCCACACCCAATCCCACAAGCACGCGAGCAAAATAACTAAGTACCATCTCCTTCTCTCATTCGATGTTCTCTCTCTCTCTATCTCTCTTGCTCGCTCGCTTACTCGCTCGTGCGCCCGTTCTCTTCTTCTTACTTACCTTTTCTCTATTCGCTTGCTCACGCAACTTATGCG